AAGTCCGTGAGGAGGAAGCAGGCTCGGTCCCGGCTGTAGCGGCCCCGGCTCCCAGGGGTGATGGGGCTCTTGTCTTCGGGGGACATGGCGGGCTGGTCGATGGCTGGGCAGTCCTCATGGGCAAGCGCGGCTGCTGCTGGGTCCCCATTGGGGCGGGGATCTGCGTCCCCAGGATCAGATAGACACAAAGAAGAGAGTGAGGTTGGGGAACTCATGGTGGGGGCGAGATCAGCAAGGAGAGAGCCAGCATCCTTGCTTGCTGGAAGTAGATGGCTGAAGGGCAGGGTTAGAAGGGGGTGGGAGAGGGGCTCAGTTGGGAGCATGATGTTAGGGGGGGCGTGGCTGGTGGGTCCGGGGAATGGGTCACTGGGGGAGGTTGTTGAGTGTTGGGAAAGACAACAGGGTAGGGAAGGGTGGTCAGGAGACAGTACTGGATGGAGGTGGGTTGAGGGAGGACGTTGAGTGTTAGGAAGTGGTGGTCAGGCTTGGTGTTGGGTGCTAGGAAGGGCACAGCTGGGGTAGGGTGCAGTGTGTTTCCAGGCAGGACATGGGGAAGAGGTGGCTGGGAAACAAGCTAGGCTAGGACACAGAGCATTGGGAGGGGGGTTGGATGAAGTGAATTGAGTAGGGCAGGGCTGGGGTAGGGTACTGGGTTGGGGTAGGTGACTGCGGGGGATGTAGGGGACTGGGAGGTGGTTGTTCAGGGAGGGGTGTTGGGTGCTGGAAAGGACACAGTGGGAAAGGGTTAGGAAGGTGACAGATGAGGGAGGGGGAAGTGGGGGTCCCCCAGGCTCTGACTCGAGCTATTTTTAATTGGTGTGAAACTGGGTCAGTGGCTGAGGGAGCAAGATGGGGGCCGGGCGGCCCAGCTCCCTTTCTTGACCTACTTAAGACATGGGGGTGGGGCCCACCAGCCTCTCCTTCCTCCCAGACTGACGCCCCCATCACTGCCTCTGAGGCACAGATTCCCCTGGGGGCCACAGAGGCACAGTCCTCTTCTCCATCTCTCTCGCTTCACCTCTTCCTCTTGGCAACTTCTCTCTGAATTTCTCTCAGACCCCTCTGCAGAGTCAGAGACTGGGCCCTGAGTTCCAAGTCACCGTCCTGTCGCATGGCCTTTCCACCCTCTGAGCCTCTCTCCCCTGGCCTCTCTGACTCTTAGTTTTTAGTTTTAAGTCCTGTCTCCTTTCTTGGTCTCACTGTTATTCAAACCTGAACTTTCTGCTGCTGATCCCCCACCTCCCGCTCCATCTCTGTCCTCTCTCTCTCCCTTCTCAGTGACAATCTCTTGGCTCCAGACAGTTGCCTTCACTCTCTTCTCAGAGTCGTCTCCAGGAGACTCTGATGCTACAACTGTCTCTTGGCAGTTTGTCTTGGGCAGGTCCGTGAGCCCTTCTCTCCCTGTGTGTGTCCCTCTGAGTCCCTCTTTGTTTCTCTGAGTCCCTCTCACCACTGACTGATTACTCTGCCTCCCTGGTCTCCCTGAATACCTTGGCTGCAAGTCTGTCTCTCCCCAAAACTGTCTTTTACACAAAATCTGTCACTGTCTATTTCTGTGCCACTTCTCTGGCCTCAGCAATTGCTGTTCACTTTTCTCTCTCCCCTCCCTGTTGCCCTCAGCATCCACGTTCTGCCCCCCTCCAAACCTCCCCACCTCCTCCCATAGGTCTCTCCACCTGTGCCCCCACCCGTCCCCCAGTGTCCCCTCCTCACCTGCCCGGTTGATCTCAATCACTTCCTCCTGAGCCAATGGGCAAGGCTCCCCAGGGGCCGGCAGAGGAGGCAGCCCCATGATCCCCAGCCCACCCGCTCCACCCCTGAGCAGCCCGGGGTGCGTGTGGGGCCCCGGCGGGTAGGCCCCAGCCACAGTCACCCCCATGGAGGGTGGGGTGATAGGCGGTGGGGGGCTGATGCCACCGCTGCCATGGTGAGGGTGGGGTGGGGGCGGCGGGGGTGGGTCAGGCTTGCAGTAGTTAGGTGAGCCAGGCTGCGGGGGCCGAGGGATGTGTTTGTTCTTCTTCTTGGGCAGCTTCTGCTTGGCCATGGCCAGCGAATAGTACATGCCAAAGTTGTTGACAATGACGGGCACGGGCATGGCGATGGTGAGCACCCCCGCCAGGGCACACAGTGCCCCGACCAGCATCCCCGACCATGTCTTAGGGTACATGTCTCCATAACCCAGAGTGGTCATGGTGACCACAGCCCACCAGAAGCCGATGGGGATGTTCTTGAAGTAGGTGTGGTTGGAGCCCAGGATGTCATCAGGGTCAGCGCCAATGCGCTCAGCATAGTAGATCATGGTGGCGAAGATGAGCACCCCCAGGGCCAGGAAGATAATAAGCAGCAGGAACTCATTGGTGCTGGCGCGAAGCGTGTGCCCCAGGACGCGCAGCCCCACGAAGTGGCGCGTGAGCTTGAAGATGCGCAGGATGCGCACGAAGCGGACCACGCGCAGGAAGCCCAGCACGTCCTTCGCGGCCTTGGAGCTGAGGCCCGAGAGGCCCACCTCAAGATAGAAGGGCAGGATGGCCACACAGTCGATGATATTGAGGCTACTCTTGAGAAATTCCACCTTGTCGGGGCAGAAGGTGATGCGCATGAGGAACTCGAAGGTGAACCAGACCACGCACACGCCCTCCACATATGTCAGGAAGGGCTCCGTCTCCACCTCCACGTTGGTGATGTTCTCAGGCGGGGCCCCGGGAATCGGGGAGGCTTGCGTTACCGTCTTGTTGCTGATGTGAATAAAGCCCTCGTGGGTCTCCAGGCAGAAGGTGGTGATGGAGATGAGGATGAAGAAGAGGGAGGCGAAGGCCACATACTGCGGGGCAGAGTGGGAGAGAGAGGGTGAAAGGTGACCCTGGTCGACTAGCCATCTCCACAAGACCCTCCCAGTGGCCCCTTTCCCAGCCCCAAACTCTTCCCTCTGATCCTCTCCCCGCTAAAGCTCACAAAAGGGGAAGGTAGGGGATCAGAGGCAGCTCTCCCCCAGCTCCAGAGAAAAGCTGGCCCCAGTAGCTAAATGGGCAACTTCTTTCCAGAAAAAAAAACCAAATTCTGGCCCCATGCACTGCCTCCTAGATGACCTCTCTGCACCCTCCTGTTCCCTGTGTCCTATCCCTGGGCTCCCCAGCAGGGTCCAAGGGTTCTGCTATTGGATCCAGGTGGCGGGGAGGAGACTTAAGATCACACACCCTGTGTGTCTCAGAGAGTTTGGAGCTGAGGGAAGGGGAAAGGGAGAAGGTGGGCAGGGAGGCGGGATCACAAAATGGCTAACAGTAAGAAAGCTTGGGTCTGAATCCAGCTTTTCCGCTGCCTAACTTGGTCAAGGCTTGATTAAGCTTTCTGAACCTCAAGTTTTTTATAGGACTATTGTGAGGATTATATTGGATGAGTAGACAAAAGGCCTGGCTCCAAAAACAGTGCTTGGCCCAGGGTCTAGAACTCGGTACAAGTTTGAGTTCGTATTAGGGTATAGAAGCCTCAGAATGGGGCCAGAGTTTTAGGACCTTGGTGCCAATTCCCAGAAAAGGCAAAAACCTGGGTGAAGCCCTTGCCCAGATTGCTCAAAGCAGGGGTGGAACCACAAAAGGGAGGAGCGGTGTTAGGGCCCTTAAGGGGTAAGGAAGTGAAATGTCAAGTCTGCAAAAAGGGAAAGGGATAGAGATGAGGAGAGTGGGGTTTAAAGCTCTCAAGAGGAAGGGTCAGGGGCCTGGACCTGGGGGGAGAGGGCAAGACTGGTGTGGGGGTTTGTTAGAGGTGCAGAGAATTAAGAGTGGGAGCTTGCCTGGGTAATTTCAGGATGGGGGATGACCAGTCTTGTGGCGCGGTGGTGTGGGTTTTGATGAAAGCCTTGAAGAGGAAAGAGGGTGGGGTCAAGATCTTGGAGAAGGAAGGGAATGAATCAGGCCCCTAGAGATGATAGTGGGCTTTATCAAATAGTAGAGGGGAGGAGGAGAGAGCGGGGTTAGTCCTTGGAGAGGGGAGGGGAGGGCGAAGACGTGGGTTTTAACCAGATGAGTAGAAGGAGGAGGAAGGGCCCGTAGTACAGAGGAGAGGGGGGCCAGGGTCAGGCTACAGAGGACTCTAGGCCTTAGGCCAGCACAGTCCCTCTCCGAACTGCCCTCTCTCCACAGGGGTGGGGGACAGGGTCTGGGCTTGACTTTAATCTGAGGTGTAGAACAGAGAAGAGGGCCAGAGCCCACCGCAGAGAGGACCCCTAAACCTTAGGGTGTGCTAGGGTCAGAGCAGGCCCTCTCTGCCCCGCCCCCCTCTTCCTTTCTCCGCAGTGGTTTAAGAGGCCAGAGGCCGCCGCAGAGCGCATGCCCAGTGCTCCCCCGCCAGCTCAGAGCAGGGCGCGCGGCGCAGGCTGCGGCACCGCAGTGGGGGCGGGCCGGCCGAGCCGGGAAGGAGGTTGGGGGGGGACGGTGGGGCGGGGCGCGCGGCGCCCAGCACCACGGTCAGCTCCCCCGCCGCAGTGCGCAGCCGCAGTGTTCCGGAGCTGCTTAACCCCTTCGGGGCTGGAACCGAGGGGGCAATGCGCAGCCGCACTGCCGCCGCTTCGCAGCGGGAGGCCGCGGGTAGAGAGCTTGATTAACTCCTTCCCTCCCAGGGCACAGAAAGGAAGGTGGGCACCGCCGCAGTGAGCAGCTGTAGAGGCTGGACAGCGTCAGGACTGGTTTAACCCCTTGCCCCCAAATGGTTCAAAAGCAGAAGGGGTAGGAGGGCATGAAGTCCCTGTAAGAAGGAAAAGAGAGATTACAGGGAAGGGAGAGGGGCAGGTAGGTATGGCAGGACCCTTCACTTTGCATTGGCCTCAGCTCCCAGCTCTATCAAGCTATCTCACTTGGAGGCTGGAAAGTGCTTGGCACACCATAGATACTCAAAAAACATTTGTGGAGTAAATGAGTGACCCCCGTATCTTTCCGGGACCTCTAGCCTCACTACAGCACAGTTCAATGGGGTCACAATAAAGGGCGCCCCAGGCCATGGGGGGGGCCGCTCAGAGGCCTGAGGGGGCATCTAGGGCCATGTCCCTTCTGCACCTCGTCCTCCCCACCTCCCCCCACCCAACCCCAAATCTCGTCAACTCAGCGCTTCCCGGGGACTAAACTTTATGCGGTGCCTCCGGCCCCCCTCCCCCTCACTCCCTCCCCCGGCGTGAATGCGGCACTGCGGCTCCTCCGCGTCCTTCCTGGCTCAGGACGCGGCACTGTGGGGGGAGGGGGCCGGGCCGGCTCCTTAGGGTGTTTGGGTCCCCAGGAAGCTAGGAGGGGTCCCCGGAGTCGCTACACTTTCCCCTTCTTTCTAATTATCCCCACTTTGAACTGCCCACCTCTCTTCCAACATGGGAAGGAAGTTAGGAGAAGGAAGAGATTCAAGGGAGAACTAGGGGGAAGGGTAGCTCTTTAGCCTGGGAAGTTACAAATGTTTGAGAAAAGTTTTGAGGGGAAGATGAAGGGAACTTTGGGGAAATTTGAGGATTTTGAGAAAGAGAAGGCTGGAGGAAAGAGGGCTGGGGTGTGCGCTCTTTGGTTCACTTTGGACAGTGGAGGAAGCTGAGGAGCCTCCTGGGCTTTGGACTGAGTGTGGGGATAGGGGGAGCAGGCAGGGCTGGGGGGTGGGGGATGGGTAGAAAGATGCCAAGGCAAGAGAGAAAGAACTGGGAACTATTTTGAGAAGGACGTTTTGGAGCTGATAACTTGAGTGAAGTCCTGAAGATTGAGGTTAGGTGAAGTTCTGGAGCAGGAGGGAAAGCCATTTTATCCACTAGGCAAGGGACTGGGAAGCTGGGGGAGGGATGTCCCAGAGAACCGGAGTGGCCTATACAGTTTAAATGATGGAAGGGAGACACTGGGAGACTCTATGGGTGAGGAGGAAGCAATTCTGAAGAGCATATGGGAGGTTCTGGAGAGGACAGGCATATCATGGGGGCTCAGGACTCTTTTGGAGACAATGAGGAGTGTGAAAGGTTTTGGGGAAGTCTGGAGCTTTATGGGGAAAGTCCTTGGGATGGGAGTTGGTGTGAAGGATATAGGAAGGGACATAAACACAGAGGGGTCTTGAGGGTCCCAGGACGAAAGATGTCCCAAGACTCATTGTTGCAGTGAGGGGGAGGTGGAAGTGTCCCAGCCAGAGCAAGTTATTTGGAGGTTCAGGAGGGATCCAGGAGTCTCTGAGGTTGGGGTGGGGGAGTCTTCTGAAACTATGAGGACAGAAGAAGCAGGGGGGTTCAAAAATAGCCAGGAGACTCCAACTTGGGAGGGGGTGGGGTAGGGACAGGGGCAAAAGGTGAATCAGGGCGGTGTTGAGAGCCTAAGGGACTGAGGGCTGGTGAGGGGGGCTTTGAAGGGTCTACAGGGGGCGGGAAAGGGTAGGTAGTATTTACAGGACCTGGGACACTTTGAGGATTAGGAAAGGATGTCTTCTGAGGGTCTGGAGCTGGTAAAAAAAAAAAAATGAGGGCCAGTAGGGGTCTTCTGAGGATCTGAAGGGTGACCGAGCGAGGTGAGAAGGGATTTAGAGGGTTTGGGATGATTCTGAGGCTGGGGAACGGTCTTCTGAGAGTCCTCGAGGGGTCCAGAAAAGGCGGAGGTGAAGTTTTTCAGAGGAGCCCAGGAGGAAGTTTCTAAGGGTTTTGGGTGGCCTAGAGAAGCGGAGTGGGGTTTGGAGGGATCTGGGGGATTCTGAAAGTTGGAGAAACGTCTTCTGAGGATCTGGGGATGGCCAGGCGAGGGGTGTGTGTTCAGAGGAGTAGAGGGAGACTCACGGTTAGGGTTAGAGGCTTTTATGAGGCTGGGAGGCTGAGAGAGACCAGGATGGGCTGGGACTGGCCATGGGATTCTGAGGGTTGGGATGGGGCGCTCCTGAGGGTTTGGGAACGCATGGGGAGAAGAGAGGGATGGGGGCTCCGACAGCGCGCTCACCCTGGCGGCCCGCGACGAGTAGGGGTCCTCGAACAGCGCCCACACGCGGGGCTGCCAGCGGCGCCACCACGTGCCGCCCGCGCCGCCCGCGCCCCCTGGCGGCCCCCCGGCGCCGCCGCCCGCGTCCTGGAAGCAGAGACGCTTGAGCTCTCCTCCCGCGCCGTCCAGTCCGCCGCCGCCCGCGCCCGCCTCGTCGTCCAGGCCCGCGTCGTGGGCGCCCGCGGCGTTGGCAGCGTTGGCGGCGCCCGCGGAGTCGGGCGCCTCGAAGGAATCGAGCGCCTCCTCAGCATCACGGTGCTGCCGGTAGGTCATCCAGCAGCAGGCCTCCACGTCGGTCTCGTCGATGCCCCAGAAGCCGAGCTCCTCCTCGAAAAGGGGCCCGCACACGTCGGCCGGGCAGTGCAGCTTGCCCGTGCGGTAGTAGTTGAGCACGTAGGCGAAGACGCCCGGGTGTCGGTCGAAGAAGAACTCGTCGGTGCCCGGGTCGTAGTCGAAGCGCGCTGCTGCCTCGGGCTCCGTCAGGCCTGCCAGCCGCGTCCCCGGCAGGGTGCGCAGCGTCGAGCGGTACGTCTCATGGCGCACACCGCCCACGTTGATCACGATCTTGCCGCTGTCGCCACCGCCGCCGCCGTGCCGCCCCATGGCCGCCGCTGGCAGCCCGGGGCATGGCTCGGCGCGCCGGTCCCCGGGCCCGCGGGATGCCGGGGGGCCCGCCGGGGACGCGGCGGGGCCGGGCTGNGAGCCACTTGGCTGGCCCCACAAGCATTTCTGAGAAACTCTATTCTGTCCTTTTGGTTTTCTAGCTTAGATTTACATACCAATATCAGCAGGCACATTTTTAAAAGTAAATAAAAGCTGACTTTACTTATTGATTAGCAACTTTTTTCCCCACTTAACCATATACCTTGGACTTAAAAAAAATAGATATAACTTCCATATTATAAAGTGCACAAATCTTAGGTGCACAGTGCTATGGCTTTATTTTTCCTGACATATTATTATGAAGATTTTTCAAGCATACAGCAAAATTGGAAGAATTATATAGTGAACCCCATTACCCAACACCTTGATTCTGCAACTAACATATTTTACTGGGTTCTCTTCATTACACATCTATCCAGTTGTCTGTCCCTCTATCTATCTAGCAACCCATTTTTATTATATATACCAGGGGTGGATAATTTGGTCAACGTTGCTCAAGCAGTAGTTCGCTGTAATCAGAAGTGTCTGGACGCTGATGGTAACCACTTTGAGCACCTATTGTAATTGCAGAAGTCAAACGTAACTTTTATTCATCTTTTATTATCGGTATATATTGAGTGTTACAATTTTAATACAGTTTTCCTTTCTTAAAATGTGTATACATTTTTTTGGCACCCTCTGTATTTAAAATAAGTTTCAGACATCATATTCTTCACCTCTAAACACTTGGACATTTACATAATCAACTTAACGGATTTTTACATATGCATATACCCGAGTAATTTCCCCCCAGATCAAAATATAGAACATTGCCAGCTCCCCAGAAGGTTCTCTGTGACTGTCCCCAGTTAATGTCCCCTTGACTAGTACCCTAACTTCTATGATCACAGCTTAGTTTTGCCTGTTCTTGAATGTCACATAAAATGGATCACTTGAATTCTTTGGTGTCCAATTTTTATCACTTAACATTCTGTTTTTGCATGTCTTTAAAAATTAGAGTACATAGATTTACCTCATTCCTTTTTCTCAAACATTTAATTATGAAAAATTTCAAACATACTGCAAAATTGAAAGAATTTTACTATGATCACTTGTATACTCACTACCTAAATTTTACATTAACATTTTGCTATATTTGCATTATCTGATTTCTATCCATCTCTCCATCTCTTTATCCAAGTGGTTCTCAACTGGGGAGCTCTTTTCTCTCCAGGGGACATTTTGGCTGTCACAACTGGGGTGGGTGCTACAGGCATCTAGTGGGTAGTGGCTAAGGAAGTTGCTAAACATCCTACTATGCACAGGATAACCCCCACAACAAAGAATTACCTGACCCCAAATGTCAATAGTGCCAAGCTTGAGACACACTACTCTGTCCATTCCTCCATCCATCTCATTTTCTTGATTTCCAATTAAGTTGCAGACATCAGTGTCCTTCATCCCTTATACTTAAATATACCTCACTCTTTAAACAGCTACATAGTATCNCGGCGGTGGCAGCGGCGGAGGGGACTCGGGCGGCTGCAGCGGCGGCGGCTGCTTGCTGGCCCCCTGGCGCCCGCGGAAGGACGAGACGCAGACTGAGCTCAGCATTGGCCGGGGGGCGGGGCGATGGGGGGCGGGGCCTTGAGGGCGGGACCTCAGGGGAAGAGGCAGACGTGATTGGGTAGGAAGAAACAATAAGTGAGGAGGCGGGGCCGAAGTAGGGAGGAATCGAAGTGATTGGTCTGGGGGAGATGGGGTGGGGCTGAAGCACAGATTAGGACAGAAACTGTTAACACTGCCTAGGTGGACGGGGCGGGGCAGCAGATGAAGCACACCGATTGGCTCTTTCCGAAGGAAGGAACGGGGGGAGGTGTTAAAAGAGGCTGGATGCACCGCTAACGTCTGTTGGCTTGGCAGCACCAAGAGAACAGAGGAGGCGGGGCTAAATAAGAAAGAAGTCAGATTAAACGGAAAAAAAAGAGGGAGCCAGGCAGAGAAAAGGAACAAGACCAAGCTATTTAGAGAGGCCTAGAGGAGCAGAGCGATGGGCGGGGCTACAGTGGGGTAGACCGTTCTGATTGGACAGGGATGGATAAGCGGGCCGGAGCTAAAGAGCAGACAAGCCAAACCTGCTACGAAAGGACAGATGGAGGTGGTGGGGTTGGGCTCCTAGCATTGCTCCCACAGGGCAGGGCAGATCTTAAGAAGAGGCGGGGTCGAAAAAAAGTAGTTAGAAACAGCCTTGATTGGGCTGGGAGAGTATGGGGGGCGGGACTGAATGAGGGCGGGTACTGGAAATTGAGAGTAGAGTACTTTCACGCGAAATGGCACTACGCCGGACTAAAAGGGGACAGGCAACGGTTACAGGGACTGAGACCCAGTGAGAAGGGTCGGAGAGGAGCGAAGCCTGGAAACCTGAGAGCGTCTGGGTAGGATTACGGGAGGGGGCGAAGTAGTGAAGGAGCGGGGCCAGGGCTGCAAACAGGCTGATCAGACGGGGCTGGACCGGGAAAATGAGTGTCAGGATGGATGGGGCGGGACTGAGGAAGGTGGGTGGGGTCTACGAAAAGTCTTGAATGGGCTGTGGGAAGGCGAGACTAGGAGCAACGGGGCTTTAAGGGACTTGAAAGCAACTAGGGTAGGCGGGGGCGGGGCAGGGGTAAAAGAGGGTAAAGAACGGTAGATTGGAGTACTAAGGGAAAGGTGAGACCTGCAAAGAGTACAAAGCTACCAGGTTGGACGGGGCTGGGGGGAGGACGGGACATGAAATGAAGAGTCCTGGGGACCAGAGCCTAAGTGTCAGTGGGGACTGAAGAGGGGGAAAGGGGACGAGGTCTAGATAACGGCGGACTGCAGACAGGAGAACAAAAGGATGGGTTGAGGACTGGCGAAGAGGGAGCCCTAAGGAAGGCAGAGGGGAAAAAACCCAATAGGTTTGAGGCAAAAGGCGGGGCCAATGGGGAACAGGGCGGGGTTAGATGTTCTCGTCTTGGTGGGAGTGGAGAGATGGAGAGTAGGGCAGGGCTAACGGAGGGGCGGGGCCAGAACTAGGCGGCGTGTCCCGGGGAGTTCCTGCCCGCCCCCTAGGCTGGCCGAGACGCAGGGTGGCAGGGGCCGAGGCGGGGCCAGCGGCTGCGGCGGGAGGAGGCGGGGCCTGTGGGAACGGAGGGGGCGGGTCAGGGCTGCGGGTTTCCTCCCGCTGCTCAGTCCCTGGCCCGCCGCCTCCCTCTGCAGGTGCGGTGGCTGGTTCGTATAGCCTCCCCACCCATCCCCCGCTCCCGTGTCTGTCTCTTTTTCTCCCCTTTCTCTGAATAATTGTCCCCCCGACTCAGCCCTGACTTCTCTGAGACTCTGGCCCCTCTTTTCTAAGTCTCTGCCCTCCCTCTGGGTCGCTGTGCCTTTGTCCTCCGAATCTGTCACCCTCCTGAGTCTTTGCTCGCTCTTGTAAGCCTCAGTATCTTTTCCTCCAACCGTGTCTCGGTCCTCCCACCCCAGTGTCTTTCTCTTGGTCTCTACTTTTTTTATTTGCCGCTCTCTCTGGGGCTTCTCTGCCCCTCTCCCTGGGTCTCTGTGCCCTCCAGGTCTCTGTCCCTCCTCTTTGCGTGTCTGTCCTATACTCCCCACCCCCCACCCCAGGCTTTGTTCTCTCTCTCTCCCTGGATCTCTGCCCATTCATCTGGGTCTCTGTCCTCTCCCTCCCTGAGTCTTTTCCCCCTCCTCTGTCTCTTCCCTCCTCTCCCTGCTTTTCCTCTTTCTGCCCTTTCTCTTTCTCTTTGTTCCCTCCATGGGTCTCTGTTTCCCCCATCTCTTTCACCCCGTTCTGAGTCTCTGTCCCCCTCTTTCTGGGTCTCTGTCGCACTTCTTTGAGACTGTCCTGCTGTCCTTTGGTCTCTGTCCCTGTGTCTGGATCTCTGACCCTTTCTCTCAGGCTCTCCCCCACCCCCACCCCCATCACCCATCACTCCCTTGAATCCCCCATCCTGGCCAGGACTCCAGGTTGCGTCACTGCAGAGAGTTGCAGAAGTGGGGCCTGTGCTGCGGACAAGGGAGGTAGTTTCCCTCACCCCCACCCCAGACCCTGGGATTCCCACTGCCTTTGATCCAGTATCCTGGGGCAGTCCTCAAGCCCCCGATGGGACCCAGGAGGGCAGAGAAAAGACACCGGGGCTTCCTACTCCTCTCTGGCCCGAATTCTGGTGTACCCCCAGGCAGAAGCAGTGAATCCTGAGGTGAGGGACTGGGCTTGGGTTGAGTAAGTCTCTAGGCAAGTCGGGGATGGAGGCTGGAACAGGGGATGGGTAAGGCACTAGGAGCAGGGAGTAAGAGCTAGGATAAGGACTCAAGTCAGCCATCCTCCCTTACCCCCCCCCCAACTATTCTTTTCTGCTTTTGACAGCAGCCAGGCACGGGATAAAGTTACCAACTCAGCGTTTTTGCAGAGGTCAGAAGGTGTGGGAGAAAGTGCGGGCTGGGGGGCAGGAAGGGTGAGCAAGGCTGGATAGGGGAGAATATGGGATGAGATTCGGGATTAGAGACAATGTGAGGCGGGCGGGGGCTGGAGGCAAGGAGTAACAGGATGGTCCAGACTTCATTAGGCCCTGGGAAATTGGATGCCGTCACCCCCTCATGGCTCTCCCCAGGCCCCACCAGGGTATGTGGGGGATTTATGAACCTGAATTCTCCACCCATGTGGTGGGGCAGGGGGTGGGGGGCTTCTGGAGGCATACTGAGGGCTCGGGTTACGGGACACCCAACCCTGCAAACAGACAGGGGGAAGCAAACTCGATTTTTATCAACAGACACCAGGAGGGGGAAGCCAACGTCTGTCCACGTCTTCACATCCTTTCCCCATCCCTCCTCTTTCCCAATCTATCCTTTCCCAGGTCCTCAAGCACAAAATTCCTGAAAGCTCCAGACCCCCACCTTGTCATCCTCCGCGCCCCCTCCAAACTCTCCCTTTCCCATTCCCCAATCCGGGGTCTTTCCCTTCCTGAATTGTAGGCTTCTTGTTCCTCTGCTCCATGCCTGCCAGTTCCAAATCCAGGAAAGAGGGTCTCCCGGACACTAAAGCTGAAAGTGTGGGGACTCTGCCTACGATCCTTGGTCCCCAAAGATCATTATTGAGGGGAATCTCTCCGCTGTAATCTTTGAATCCCTGCCTCCCTCGTCTCCCGCCTCCAAAACTGGGATTTGGGCTGTCTTACCGCCCCCAGACCCTGAGCTTTCTCCCCCTCCCCTGTACTCACCCCACGTCGAGACGGGGCGGGGATGGGGGAATCCGGGGCTGGCGATAGGGGGAGGGGTGACCCAGCCCCGGCAGCTCTGGGCAGCAAAAGGCTACGGAGGGGGGAGTGACATCATCATCGGAGGAGGGACAGCACAGCTCCCCCCAAACCGGGGGCTTCAGGCCCCGCCTTTATGGCGGACCCAGGGGTCCCGGAATCCCAAGAGGAGAGAGGAGGAACAGATGAAGTCTGCGGGAATGGTATCTCCTCCCCTTAGAACAAGGATGGAAAGCCTTTTACGATTTCAGCCACCCCCAGCTGCCACCTGTCGCTGCCGTCGCGACCTGTCGCCTCCCACGCATGTTGTGGCAGCGCCTGCCCCCGACAGGCCGTAAACACGGCCTGAACTACAAAGTCCGTGATGCTCCGCGGTGACGGGCGCCTTTGATGAGAGGAAATATAGACGAGGGCCTTCATGGGATTCGTGGAATAAGACCCCCCTCACCAGTGTGAGCCCAGGAGAAAAGGAGCGATACCTTTCTCCTTTCTTTCCTGAACTCCAGATGCCGGACACTAATTTTTCTTCAAATATCACGCGCTTAAAGAAAAAAAAAGCGCCCCAGTAGGTTAAATGGAAATAGTGAATTTCTACAGAGTAAGTGAGGTCTCGGCTACCATCCGGTGCGCAGGCGCCTAACCAGGACGTCAATCGGGAAACTGCGCCTGCGTGGACCACCTCAGCGTCCGGCTCTGCGAGACCGTGCGCGCGCCAGCCCTACTCGGGCACCTTCTTTTATGTTCCCACGGTCGAAGACCGCCACATAGCTGCGCAAGAAGACATCGCCGAGGATCCAGAAGGGCCCTTCGGGAGGAGGTATATCCAGGGCCTTGAAGCCGGACAAACAGAGGCGGACGCCACCCCGAGCAATCTGCAGTGTGACAAGCCGGGCCACTGGGTGTCACGTCCACCGACCCCGCCACTTCTCTGGGAGCCAAGGCTTCGGCTCGCCCACTACCCCGGGTACACGAAACGTTTCTGTTGCCCCTACTCCGTCCTTGTGAGGTCTCACTCCCAGCTCCACCCTCTCAAACCCCAACTTACCGCGTCACTCTGGCGTCATTCTAACGGCTACCTACCTGGATGACGTAGTCCTGGGCCGTCAGGTTAAACCAGATCCCCCCAAGGTTGAAGGAGACTGGGGGGAGCGTTGAGATTATCGAGCACTGGATGAAAGACTGAGGCACAAGAGGAACAAGTGGAGATGAGGGATTCCTGCTCTGCTCAAATTCCTTCTGTGGCTCCCCAGTTCCATACTATACTGGGCAGTTAGGTGTTCAGAGCCTCGTGTGGTCAGGCGCTGCTGCCGTCTGTAGCTTTACCATCTCTTCCTTTAGACTATAGAATTGTTGCCGCTTCCCCTAGGCTCCCATTTGAACAAACCCTTTTTTCCTCTAACTGTACGCCTGCAGGTGTATTTATCTTACACTGTGTCTAAAATGTTTTTTAAAATAGATACCAACTGTACACCATGGTGGTACAGGTGGTTTTCTGTGGAGTTTACTGCTGTGCAGCCTTATAAAGTTACTTAACCTCTCTGTGCCTCAATTTCCAATCTGAAAAAGTAGATGATAATACCTCATAGGGATGCTGGGTGAGAAAGAAATGAGTTAGCTTGGAAGGATCCCTGACACATAGTAAGTGCTATTATTTACAAATAGGAGCTTACAAATAATGTTTTCAGGTTTCTGCAACAAACCAGAAGACCTGGCTTTTCCCACATGGCAATACTTGGCTGGAGCTGAGTAGCTGAGAACTGTTCCTTTTAGATTAATGGGGCATGTGTTCTCCAGTTAGCCTCAGTTCCCACTACTCCCAAGCACCTAACAATATAATATGAGGCAATTGTTCATAACCCAAGAAGTTTATCTTCCTTAAAAAACCAGTATTGGGGGCCGGCCGAGTGGCGCGTTGGTTAAGAACTGGCTTGGGATGCCAGAGGACCCTGGTTCGGATCCCACATATGAGGGCCAGTGACACTGCCCTCCACAGCTAAGATGCTGAACAACAGCTCAACCTGGAGCTGGGCTGCTGTGAGTCGCCGGCAACAGCCAGCAGCCAGCATGAGCGGCCAGCAGCCACAGTGAGCAGCCATCCAGAAGCCGGTGACTGATCTGCCTCGCCCGGGAAGAGCGCAATGATGGTGCCAACTTGGGCCAGTGAAGCAACGTCCTCCACAACTAGACTGAAGAACAAAAGGACAGCAACTTGTCTGTTTTTCTTCCCCCAATTTCCCAGCGCTACTCCCATCCCCCAATTCCCTAATAAAAATCTTTCAAAAAAAACAAAAACCAAACCAGTATTAATGACCTTTTTGGGAAGGCAAGGAATGGTGAAAACAAAGTTGAATGAGTGTATAACACTCTTGACAACAGAGATAACAGCAACAACAGGCATCAAAGCATTGTTCTAAGCACCTTAAGTGGATTAATTGATTCAGTTTTCACAACATACCTAAGAGGTGAATGTCAGTAACCCTATTTTAGGGATTAGGAAACTGAGGCCAAGGAATGTTAAGTGACTTGTCCAAGACAACACAGCCAGTAAATGGCAGGCCCGGATTCTAACCTGGGTAACCCACTTCCATAACCACTATGATCTACCTGGTTCCTTTGGCTCCTACAAGGCTACATATATGTCCTAGGTGCTTGACCTGGAACCTCAGGAACTGCGTTTTCTCCATCCTCTCAGAAGTGCCGAAGTGCACAATGATGGAGTCACAGAAATTCAGACCTGGGACTCTGCAGGGCCTCCTGAGGTGGAAGTGAGTGTGCAGCTCTTATATTGCACTGCACCCCACTCCATGACGCCTGTGTGGCTTCTGTGAGCCTACGCGCTCCAGGTGTTCCTCCCTGCCTCTGGCTGCTCCTGCCCTGTCTCCACTTTCACTCCACGTGGGTGTTCCCCAAGGCTGTTCCTGGGACCTCGTCTCTCCCAGGGAGGGCTCCCCTCCTCCATGGCTGTGTTTACTGTCTTAAGGGCTGATGGCCCCTAAATATGATGTCCGAGCTGCTTCCACACCTCCCCCAGACATCCCCGGACCTCCTAGCCTCACTCCCATCCAGTCCTGAATAAACCTGCATCATCATCTCCTCCTGTCCACTGAGTCACCTAGAGTAGACACTTGGGAAGTGTCCTTGCTTCCTTTCACTTGCCTCCCTCCCCAGCCTGTCACTCACAAGGTACAGTACCTTCTCCCCTGGGGTGCCTCCTAGCCACCTGATTCCCACCCTCAGACCCCAGCATCCTGCTCAGTGTCTGCCATTAAATCCCCATTAGTCTGCCCAGCCCACACCCACCAGACACCGGGTCCTCACCTCCCCCATCGGCAGGGGGAATCCCCCAATGGCTGCCTGTAGGGCCTGGATCTCCTCGGAGGGTCCCGTGATGAGAGATGTGCCGGTATCCAGAATGGCAGCACAGCCCTGAGCACAAAGAGTCAGCCCTGTGCCCACCTTTACACTGTAAGGTGGAATGGGATGGTCTTTAGAGCCAAGAATCCAGGTCCGCAGTTCCCTTCCCCAGAAAAAACACTGGAGGTCAATCTCCAGCCCACTCCTCCCAGACCTAGGAGGCCAGGTTCCTCACCGTTCCATGTGGATCTGCCAGTAGGCAGGGATGGTGACTGGCACATAGGTGAGGGGTGGGATGTAGTGTGCTGGGTCTGAGCCACCTAGAACCAGCTCTCCTCCATCAACCACTTCAGGGTCCCTGCAGAGACAGAGTGCTGTCAGTGTCACCAGAGTTTCCCCTGCCAGCCCCAGGAGTGACCAAGGAAGGGACTTCCTGCCAGCGGAGTGGTTTCTGGGTTCTAGATGGGGTAGTGAGATGGAGGCAGGACAAAAATGTTGGGACTGGAAGCAAGGCAAGAAGTAAAGAGAAATGAGTCTTTCCCAGTGGTGAGTTTAGTGCCTTGAGGACTTCCTGGAGTGGGGGTGGGACTTCCCGATTTGGCTATGGAAGTTAGAACTTTTCTGGGGGGAGATTTAAGTGGAGCATTGGGGTTCCTGAATTGGCCCTGGAAGCTGCGATAGTGTAGAAGTAGGGCGATTCCTGGTGGATGGGGAGACGTTTTGAATTACATGTCTTGAAATTTAGAGGCAATAGACTTCCTGAGTTACCTGAGAGTGATGGAAAGAGGGGGTGGGACTTTCTGAGTAGGCTGGACATCAGAATAACTGAATGGGCATACGATTTTCTGCTTGTGGGGAATGGGCCTATGGGAGGGGAGGTGGAGAATTCCTGGAAGGGGGTGGGACTTTCTGAGCTTAAGGTTGAGCTTCCTAAAAGGTAAGTGGGACTTCCTGGATTAAAATGGGCAATTCCTGACTTCCTGTGTGTGTGTTCTAAAATGGGATTTGGGCTTTCCTTATGGTGAAGAGGGGGTTCTTAAATTAAGTATTTGATTGGATAGGGCATGGAGTTTCCTGGTTTGAGTTGGAAACATGGAACATTTTAAATGATGGTGAGTTTCTTTAATATATCTTAAGGTGTTGCTTAGTGAGTGACACTTCTGAATAGGGCTCAGGTGTTTCTTATATTGGGTAGGTGAACTTCCTGTGTTGGGTGTGTGACTTTCTAACTGGAGAGTAGCTCAGTGACTTCCTGAATGGAGGGTGGAACTTCCTTTATTGGGACTTCCTGAAGGCAGGCAGAACTTCCTCCTTGGGGCTGGGACTCATAGGAAGGTAGACCCTCCCCCATTACCTGCTGAGGTAGAAGGAGAAGACAGGCTTATCCAGTAGACCCTGGTCCACCATTGTATCCAGTGGGGGCTGAACTCCTTCCACAGCCAGACTGGGAAAACCGAGGCCCAATATCCCATCGAAGTGAGCAAAAGTGAAGACCAGACTGGGCTCCCACAGAGCCTCCCCGAAAATCACTGATGCACCCGTGATTCCCCCAATCTAGGGGAAGATTCAAATGGGGCAAGTTATTTCTGGGAGGGCACTTCCTACATATCCCTGAGAGCTCCCCAACCAAGGCCTGAATCCCAGGTCTGGGGACATCTGGAAACCTTCAACTGCCTAGGAAGCTTTGCCTTCCCGCTTAAGCCACCCCTTTACCCAGGTTGCCTGCTCCAAGCTTGGGAAACCCTGCCCCTGTATGGGAAGCCCTGCCTCTTTACCCACAAAGCCCCTCCTCACCACTTAAGCCACACTCATTTGCTCAGGAAGTTTCACTACCTCAGGCCCCTCCCTAAACCAGATTATCTTAGACTTTGGGGTCCTCCCAGGGTCAAGCCTTCCTGGGGTCGAAGGTCACGCACAGTCAGCTTGTCCTCACTCAGGATGCCGCTTAGCCGCCCAGTTCCATATTGAATAGCAAACTTAGTTCCATTGGGCTTGAAGGAACTAGAAACGTTGGAGTTGAAACGGTGGTGGAACCCTAGGTCAGAAGGACAGGGAGGTGTCATTAGGGTCTCCCCTGTGAGGTTATGTCAGAAGAGAAGGGTGCCTCAAAATCCCTTGGGAAACCAAGGCCCAGCCTCCCTTCTTCCTCCACCCCCAATTCAGCCTTATTCTCCCCCATGAGAGCTCACAGCAGGGCAGACTGAAGAAGTAGCATCTCTTGGACGGGACCCAGAGATTGGAGGAGCCAGTGTCAAAGACGACAGAGAAGTTTTGTGGGGGCGTTCCCAGCCCTATTTCTCCATAATATTGGACCTGATGGAGAGAGAGAGAGAGAGAGAGAGAGAGAGAGAGAGAGAGAGAGAGAATGAAAAACTTGACTTACTGGCAGGAGGGTAGAGGCTATGTGGGACTGTGACTCACATTCATGAAATTGGAGAGAGGCACAATGGTGGGCTTGCCCCCAGGGGATGGGGTCCCCCATCCTCTCAGTGGGTTCAGGGTTCTGTATCCAGTGTAGCCTCGGCGAAGAGGGATCCTGTGAGGAGGAAGATACTGACAG